CATAGCGGGTACTTCTTGCTTGGACTGTGGGTGGCAAGGTCTCGGGTCATCCATCACAGCCATGCTGCAGTTAGCCAGGTTGTTCCAGGAGGATAGGCTATGTTCAGGGCTTTGGAAAGAGCCCGACTGTGCCTGAGCAAACGTGCGCTGACATGGCAGAGCAGCCAAAGGCTCTGCCCTTCGGGGTCTTGCCAGGGGAGCTGTGAGACCAGTGTGGGGGAGAGCCTGATCTCACTGTCTTTGATCTCCTGTTGCAGGAATGGTATGAGGAGCATTCCAGAAAAGAGGAACCTCAGATGCCATTACAAGAGCCTGCATCTGCTCCCAACAGCTCTCTGAAGCCCCTGAGCCTCCGACAACGCTCCCAGACCGTCATTTAGGCCTAGCTAACGCAAGCCGCCTTCTATGCAATAACCTAGAGTATTACTTCACAGCGTATATATTGGGATGATGTATATAGATCTGTTCAGTGTACTGTTCAGCTTTAGAGTTTAAATCTCTTCCCCTAGGCAGTGAATTGTTGAAAAACGAGAGGCCCAGGGGACTCTGTGTAAGGCTGCTACACACAGATTGAGCATGATGCCCATGCTCAGCACCCAGTGAACATCTCAGACAGAACAGAGACCTTCTCCCTCTGAGCCACTTCCCAGGCTCGAGCCTGCTGTTTGTCTTACCACTAACAGACCTTGGGGAAAGGGATGTGTAATCCATTAACAGCAGGAAATGCGCTGAAGCCACCTGCGTAATATTAAAACATTTGCTCTTTTGGAAGATCTCTTTTCCTCAAAGGGTACCATTAACCTAGGAATAAAAGATCAGGGAATGAGGTTTTGTTTCTTCTCCACCTTACTTATTCCAAGAAAGGGGGGATAGTGTGAGATTTCAGCACTTTGGGAAGAGCAGTCTGCCTTCCTCCTCCTTTTTGGCATGCCTGGATGCGCTCCCTGTAGTAGATCCAGCTCTGATTATTGAATTTAGCTGTCCCCGAGCAGTTCTGGGGCAGCTAGAGACAGAACTGAGTGCCAGCATCTTGTTGTGTTATTACCATAGATGGGACAGGAGACGAACTCTGTCTCTGCTGTACTTACCCAGTAACTGCATCACTGCTGGTCGGTTCTGCCCGTGGCACTGCCTGGGGTTGGGATCGCCTCTGTAAACCCCAAAGCTCCTGTCTCTGTTCAGTGAGAGGGGGCATTCTGCTGGTGGCTCTTGACCTCTGCCACTTGGTCACCTGCTCTGTAAATGGCAAATCTCTGGCTGGTGATTTGCTCAGGTGGATGACCAGGAGGAAGAAATGGAAAGTATTGCAGCCCCAAGTCTGACTTATTTGTGCCTGGCTCTGGGTTAAGGAGAGCTTATGGGCATCAAACAGTGCTGATGGTTAGTCCTCAGCCAGGTCAGTGCTTTGTTTATACAGGTGAGTGAGTCCCAGCGCAACAGCGTTCCTCCTCCTGTGCTCTCACTCTTGCAGAAACGTTCCTCAGGCTGGTAAATGCTGACTGAGTCAGATCTTAGGAAGATCTGCTGAAGAGCTTCACTGTTCCCCTGAATTTTGGATGCAGGAGGAGCATGGAAGATGATGATTCTTCTTACCTGCCTGCTTTTCTGCACCTGGCAAGGAGGCTGCCAGACTTGGTAGCTGAGGGATGGAAAGGAACAGGGAAAAGGGATCCCTTCCCAGGTCTGCCACGTTTATCCTGTGATCATGACAGGTTGCATCATCACTTGTGTTTCATTTCCCGCAACGTGATGAGAACTTGTCTCTCTAAGTCCCCTTTTTTTTACCCTGTCAGCACAGAAAGTGCTGAGGGCTAGAAGTACCCGTCAGCTGGGAGGCTTCCCTCACCTCATGCTGTTTGATCTTTTCTCAGGTCCAGGCTAAGAGTAGAGCTTGCCGGGGAGGCTTTCTCCTTCCTCCAGATAAGATCAGGCAGGGGGAGATCTGTGTGCCCATTCTCTTTGTCCCACATAACTTTTTTCCTTGGTGGCCTCACCAAGTGGCACAAGGACAGCGGGAGAGGACTGATCCTACCCAGGCAGCTCAGGAGCATTTCTTGGGTGGATGAGACTTTGAAAAGTAGGCAAGACAGAGCTGCTTCTGAAAATCTCTCCCTGCATAGCATGGTGGGAGCATTTGGGCTATGGGATGGAAAGAGCAGGTGAGCAGCTTTCCAGGCAGAACGCATACCAGCGTCTGCTCTCAACCCTTGCCAAATTCCCTGGGTGCCTCAGGGCAACTCTTTGTTTCCTTTCTGGGTACTGCAGGTATGAAACTACTTCTGAGCTGAACCGTGAAGGACCTTAAAGGGCTGTTTTCCAAACCATAAATTCGACCACAAATTAATGAGCAGTGGAGTTGTTGCTCTTGCAGTTCCTCTGCATGGAGTCGCAGCCTGGGAGATTTACCCAGATTAGTCCTGGGGCTGGAGGAGATGTTGTTTATTCTGTTTTAAGTTGTGAGCAGGATGAGTGAGCATTGTCAAGGTTAAGGGAAAAAAAAAAAAATGTGGCTGTGTTCAAATTCCACATTCCCCTACAGCCTATTTTTCCTTACAAGGCTGTTAGTGACTTTTTTGGGGGGTGTTTTCTGGGTGTGACAGGAGCTGCAGCTTTCAGCTGTATTGTGGGGGGCACTGACCTGCTTAACGGGCAATAAGAGGGCTCTCGTGTCACAGAGACAGGAATGCGTGGACTGGAGTTCGGGGCTCAGGTGCTGCTTCCAGGTTTTGTGCTGAGGTGTTGATCTGCCCCCATGTACGCACTGTATTAATTATTTTTGTAAACCAAGGAAGGTTGCAGAAGTTTACTTCTTCCATACGACTTTGGAAGGAAACAAAGTTTGAGTACGGGGCATCCCCTTCTATTTATCCTCCTCTCCCCCAGCTGACACACAGACTAACGACGGAGACAATCATTTTGTAGGGAGCAAGGGAGGAAGCACTACAGGATTTTGTATGCTGGCATTTTGTTTATAAAATTATTTTATGGACATGTCTGTAAAAATGTTCTCTAGATTTTTTCAAGCGCACTAATAAAGAGCATCCTCTGCTTTGTAAAGGCAGCAGCTTCCTTTCCTCCTTCCCATGTTATTCCAGGAGTGGGGCTTGGCTGCAGCTGACGCATTTCCAGAGTGTTTGAAGAGGAGCGGTGCCCGCCTGCCCTCCCTCTTGGGTGGCAACTGCTTGCGTGGGCATATTTTGCGTGCATGCCCTGCCGAGCTGCTCTGCATTCTTGTTCCTGGGCATTGCAAAGCCCAGCTTCCCTTCTCCTCTCCTCCCTGCCAGTTTTTTTGTTCCTAAACATTTAAGATAATGCTTTCAAACTTACATTTTTAAGGCCACTCCAGTGCAGTGTTTAAGGTTAGAAGGGGTTTTTTGACCCTGTACTTCTGTATTGGTACGTTGGCTGCGGTTTCCATTGCTTTAGCCCTGCTGTGTGTAAGGAAGTGGGACTGGGCTCCTCGGCTAATTCCAGCAGCTGCTGGTAACGTGAGCAGGTTCAGGGCAGAGCCAAGAGCTGCAGGCACAGGGAGCGTTTGGTTTTTTTGTGAAAGCCCATATCTGGTTAGAAAAAGGAGAAATGATCCAGGCCCAGGAGGCTGCTGGTCCCTCTAGAAGGGAGCAGGAACCTGTTTCTTGCAAAACAGCCCCTCTCTCCCTGCAGAGCAGAAACGCGGTTGTCCATCCCTAACGGCAGTTTGCTTTCTAGCGTGTGCCCTGTGGACCCTCCGAGAAGGAGCAGAAGCACCAGCCCACCTGCTCAGCTTCCCCTGGGACCACGGGTTTCCCCGCCGGCGTCCCCATCCCCGGGGAGCTGAGTAATGCCCCTCGCAGCCCGTGCTGGGACCGCCGTGATGCTGCAGTTCCCAACCGTGCAACTAAATGGGCTGAGTCAGGCGCATGTGACTGCTGTTGAGAAATCAACTGCTGGTGAACGTGGAGGAAACCACTTCCCTCAGCCACTGGGGAAAAGGGCCCAGCGTGGCCGGGGGTGTCAGCCCCCCCCAGGCCCCTCTGCTGCTGCGGGCACAGCTCCGGGTGTTCCCTCTCCCCTTCCAAAGGCACCGTGCTGGGTAAGGGTTGTGTTACGCTACCACAGAGCGGGAGAAAACACCCTCACTGCAAACAACGCCAGTCGAGGTTGGGGTTGTGTTTGGTTTTTTTTTTTTTATTGCAAGTTTGTTGGTTGTTTTTTTTTTTTACAGTGCCTAAACCTAGTCTTGCCAGAGGCTAACACCATGTGTGCAAACCTCCGAGTCCTTTCCTACAGCTCTGTCCACCCTAGGAGGAGGAGAAAAGTAGGACCTAAAACTCAGGTTGAAAAACATAGCTTAAAACAGCAGGGGAAACCAGCCTCCCTTGGTTTGTTGGGTTTCTTTCTTTTTCCCTTTTCCCTCCACCTTCACTTGCATTAAAACCAAGCACTGCCTTAGAGCTTTGTCTCACCTTAACCCCATCTCACTTTGCCTCGGCTGCTGTTTCAAACCCACGGTGCGGACACGTCACGTCCTTTGCAACGACAAACTTTGTGCTCAGACTTTCACAGTTACCCCCCGTAGCACGACTGCCCTAGCCCCGAGCAGCCAGGATGAAGACAGAGAGAGGAAAGGAACGCGAAGAAGTAAAACCTTTCCTGTTGTGACCCTGGGCTGGAGCTGCCCTCTCCTCTGCCCCTGGGACCAGAGGAAGCTGAAGTCTTAACCTCACACCTGCTCGGAGCCACCTTGAGTTAAACAAGATTAAACATAGGTAATGACGAACAGCTCCTTTTCCCTTCCCAAAGCACAACCAACCAACCAACCCCTCCTCCGGAAAGCGAAGGCCAAGGGTTGGGCTGGCACCTGATGCCTCCAGCATCTGGCAGCAGCAGCACGGTTGGGGTGGAGGTGCCCTTGTTCCCCTGGCAGGGACAGGGAGAGGGGACAGGGAGGCCCCGATCCGGCGGGGAGGCAGAGCAAGAGCCAGGGATGGATGTGCATCTCCTGCCGGCGTTGGGGCCGGTCAGAGGGTGGAGAGATGGATCACCCTGAATTCGGTCAGCAGGGCCACGCAGAGGAAGGCCAGGTAGTAGATGATGAGGCAGACGCCGTACGCCTTGCCCAACTGGAAGCACTGCGCTGGCACCGACACGAAGGAGAAGACCAAGCTCAGCCCCAGGGCCCCGGCGAGGATCCAGACCAGGAGGCTGTCGGGCTCCAGCTGTTGGAGAGATGGGGAGTGATGTGGAGTGAGACCGGGGTCCTGCTGCCAGCCTGCCCCGTGCCACCGTGTTTCTCCAGCCTTACCTTCACCACCAGCTGGCTGCTGGTCATCTGCAGCAGGCAGCCGAGTCCCACGCCAACCAGGATGTCTGGGGCACGTTCAGGATGGAGACACAGTGCAGGGGACCTCAGGGGAGCGACGGAGCCAGCCATGTCCCTCGCACCCCGGGGAAGGGGACAGCACCAGCTCTCCTCCTCTCTGCCTGCGCCCCATGGCTGGGTCTCAAATCTTCCCTTTGGCAGGTCCCAAATCTGCCAGACTCCAGCCCAAACCCCCACCCAGCTGGGGCTGGGACAGCAGCGGGGACAGAGAGATGCTGCTGGCTCCATCCCTGCAGCTCCTGAGGTTCATCAATGCCACACCAGTCCCCTCGCACTGTGGGGGCACTGGGGAATTTGCCAGCATCCCAGGGACTCTGGGATGGATCCTGCCCAGCTCCTTTCCAGGGGTCCCCCAGGAGCAGGGGCTCTCCCTGGGCTGCAGGCAGGGAAACTGAGGCAGCCCCCGCCCCAAGTACCACCACCACCACCTCTCCCCGGCACCCAAAGGATACTGAAGATGATGCCCCCGAAGCAGGCAGAGAAGGCCATGCGGGGATAGCCCTGCCGTGCCATGGTGAGGTCCGAGAAGGTGTCTGCAGAGGGAGAAGGGGAGACCTTGGGGGATGCCAGGAGGATGGGTGCACCTGGGGTGGCACTGGGGCACGGCAGAGCCCTTACCACCGATGCTGTTGCCCCAGGCCAGCAGCGTCAAGCCCAGCACGGTGTTGCTCAGCTGGAAGATGATGCCCAGGGTCCGGAGGATGTTCACCAGCTCCGTGGCCGCGGCGTTGATCCACATGGCACTGGCCAAAAACCCAAGGAAGGCAAATACCTGCCGGGAAGAGGGGTAAGCTGGTCCCTGGGTGCACCCCACGGGACCCTGCACACCTCCAGCCAGCCGTGTCCCTCCTGGGGACACTGGGGACCGGGAAGGAGGTCCTGGCTCCTGCTCTGCCCCCAGGACCCTCAGCCCAGTCCGGAGCAGGCTGGGCTGGTCCCTGGTGGGCGTTCAGGGCCGGGGGACACCTTACGCAATGGTACTTGGGTGGCTCCTCATTGCTTGTGGTGATGAAGATGATGATGGCCAGGACAGAGCCAACCAGTGTGACCAGCCCCCAGACTGGGAAGACACCCTGGATCTGGTACAGCCCATCTGCAGGTGGTGGGGAGAGGGGGCATCAGAGCAGCCCTGCAGGGGCTGGGGCAGGATCCGACCAGGCTCATGGTATGAGGTAAAGCCTTGTCCCCTAAAGCCACCTCTACCCTAAGCCCTCACAGGGCTGCTCCCCGCTGTGCCTCAGTTTCCCCAGGCAGGCCAAGCCTGCCCCATTTTTCCCCCCCAGGACCTGGATGCTGGGGGAGCCAAACCCCCCCAACGCCTGTGGGGAGGATGGAGCCATCCAGGTGCAAACCAGGCCCCCCAGCTTGGCTCTTCACCGGCCTGTCCTCCCCTCCCTAGACGGGGGTACCACCTCCAAAGGGCTCCTACAGTCCCCGGGGCTTTGGGTGCCGTCTCGGTCCCCTCCCGTCCCCTCCTGGGTGTCCGGGGCTGCCCCAGGCTCTTACAGGCGCCCGACTTCAGGGTGAGGATGCAGAGCAGGGGGCTGGTAAGGACGTGCAGGCAGTTGAGGGGTCTCTTCCAGTTCAGGTCCTCCTTGTCAGGGTCCACGACGGGGACGGTGAGCAGCAGCACCAGCTCCACAGGCACCTGGGAGGAGCAGCCGTGAGCGGGAATGGGGGACCCCCAAGATGGGCCATGCCAGGAGGTGCCCCGTGACCCACCCCTGACCCACCTGCCCTTGTCCCATCACCCCCATTGCAAAGCCCAGGGGTGCTGCAGCCCCAAGGGCCAGCGGGGA